TCTGATGTGAACGTTTACAACACATTTCCGAAATTTTTTCTCTCATCTAATATAGTGATGTAAATGTTCACAACATGTGAACTTTTTTATTTTTTGGTGACAACATATTAAAAATAACATTCATTATATTTTTAATTGACAACACATCCTTATTTACAATATGTAGTGATGTGAATGTTCACAACATGTGATCTGAACGTTCATATTCGCATGCTTTAGTATGAATATTCATATTATGTAATTGACAACACAATGACAAAAATTAATTTCAAATTAATATGAATATAATGACAACATTTTAATGTATAGGAACTACCAAAATAAAATAACAATCAATATTAAATATCGACATTAATAGGGAGCATGAGAGATTGTAATAACCCGAAAATTTAAGTTGTTCCTTAAATTTATATTCGTATTATTTAATTATAAATGAGATTATCGAAAAATATATATACATATATAATTAGTTTAAAATTTGGGCCACAGTAAAATTATTCTAAAGTTAAATATTTTAGATAAAAATGAATTAATGGCAAGTGAATGGGACTTAGACACGTAGGCAGCTTGTGGCTTGCTACCCACGGTGGCCTCTCCATAAATTGGAGGATTGCTCAGGATTGCTAAGAAGGAAAGAAAGGAAGAAAAATAAAATGGAAGTTGAGAGTGCCTTTAACAGTGGAAAGAAAGACTGATGTATTAAAATTAAGGTGGGTTATATTATATATTGAGTTACTATTATATGTTTTATCTATATTTTGACTTATCATATTTATTTTATACAAGTATGTTTTATAAATTATTATAAATTATATAAATATTTCAGTTACGTGGTTTAATTTCTAAACCATATTTGTGAAAATGAAATCCATGGATATGTTTGTTTATATTTTAAAGAATATTTGAATATAACCTTATAAACAATTATATTTTGTAAGTACAACCACGGGAGTTCCACGCCTTGGGGGACTTAAATAACTATTGGTCTCTGTTTAACTACTTTGTGGCCCTCTATTGTCATGAATCTATTGACCTCTGTTCTGTGCGAAGCAAAGTGCTGTGCGGAGATAAGTGCTACACTATTGTGAGAGCCACATCTATAATCCATACGAGTCACCTCTTGAATCCGTACCTCTGTATTGTTATGAATCCATTGACTCTTTGATTTTTGGTATGGAGCAAAGTGCTGTGCGAAGATAAGTGCTACACTATTGTGGGAGTCACCTCTATAATCCGTACGAGCCACCTCTTGAATCCGTATCTCTGTTCTAACTGTCACTCATGTGACCTCTGTTTTGTTCTGTTCGGTACGGTACCGTGGTTATGGTTATTTATTTACATAATCTTAGTTTTGTTACTTAAATGATTATTTGTTCAGACTAAGTTATCTTAAATATTTTAGTTTCATAACTATCCATGGTTATTTTGTGTCCCTTATACTCTTGGTATAATATTTCTCACTCTGCCATATGCTTATAGCTGTTTACCAATTTTCAGGAAACAATGCAATTCAGAAATAGCTTTTGGAAAGTCTTAGATGCAGGGCTGCGGAATAAACACACTCAACACTTTTATGATATTTTTATATGTAAATATCGGCCTTTTGATCAATAAGTTTTGTAATAAAAATAGAAACTCCAATGATTATTTTGGTACCCTCACTTGAATATAATTTCCGCTCGCATTTATTAATTTGTTTAAGAATTGGCCGGAGGTAACCTCAGTTACTGGTCATCACGATGCTTAACCCTTAGGTACGGGCGGGGCTGCGGAATAAACACGCTCAACACTTTTATGATATTTTTATATGTAAATATCGGCTTTTTGATCAATAAGTTTTGTAATAAAAATAGAAACTCCAATGATTATTTTGGTACCCTCACTTGAATATAATTTCCGCTCGCATTTATTAATTTGTTTAAGAATTGGCCGGAGGTAACCTCAGTTACTGGTCATCACGATGCTTAACCCTTAGGTACGGAGAGCGGGTCGTGACAGAGATTAAGGATGTTTTGGTCTTTTTACCTCAAATAGGACCTAATGGAATAATAAAAAAAAAATATGAATTCGATGGAATAAAACTCTTAGAAAGAGGATTTATCAAAAAAGCTTCCTACATTTTAATTAGTTCATAATTAAATTCATGGAGTTTTAAATTAAACCCTTAAATTATGTTACCATAATTGCCATTTCAAATTACTTCCTTAATTTATGTTTACCATACCAAATTTATTTTCAAAATTGCTTCCCTAAGATTGCATTAATGCATGATTTTAATACATTCATACATACACATGTATAATTGATTCTTTAACTTAAAATTTAAACATTATTGATTTTTTAACATGACCTAAACTTCTCTTCAGTCCTCCAACGGATTGGAGATGTGCTGTTGGGCTTTGTGGCTCACTTTTGGGCCCCATTTTAATAATCTAAACTATTCATATTTTAAGATTTGTCGAGTACATCATCTCTGTAAAAAATCAAGTCGATCAGATAATGGGGGACCATGTGTTTGTATCAATTTTGTATGGAAAAAAATGAATAGTGAGAAAATAAACGATTCATACAAAATTGATCTAAACACGTGATTTCTGTTATCTGATCGACTTGATTTTTATAGAGATGATGTAATTAACAAATCCTAAAATATGAACGGTTCGGATCATTAAAATAGGACCCATAAATTGGCCTACTGAATATTTAATCAAATATTAGAACCCCAAACTAGCTCATACCGATCACGAATATAATTTATGCATAATGTTTAAATTTATTATTATCAAATATTTTTACTAAGATTAAAGATAAAATATGACATGTAATATAGGTCAACTCTATCTTAGATAATTTTTTAATATATGAATATATGTAACTATTTATTTTATAGTGTTAACATAAATATATAAGTTCAAAATTTTTAATGGTTATGCATAAAATATATTCATTTTTCTTATTTAAAAAATAAAAAATACTTGTAGATATTTATTTATCAATTTAATAAATAAATAAGTCAAATGATTCATAAGTTGGGCATAAACCAAAACAATTTTTAATAATTAGGTGAATGTTACTTTGGTATAAATATACAAATCATTTATATGTAACTCTGATAAAAATGAATAAAATTTAATTGATTATAAATCAATTTTACTACATATTTTAGATAAATTTTATATTATTATTTAATTTTAAAACTAATTTTTGATTATTTATTTATAATCGTATATAGCACTACCAAGACTACTTTACCTGCCCTTAACACAAAATAAAAATAAAAATAATTAAGATTTTAAAAATAAAAGTGATTTTTTTTTTATTTAGTAGCTTCAGAATACAGAAATTACTAAAATTTATAGATTATTGACACAAAACAAAATTAAAATGAAACTAACTAAGATTTTAAAAAGAAAAGTGATAAAAAAAAATTTATTTAGAAGCTTCATAATACAAAAATTGTTAAAATTTATAGGTTATTGACATAAAACAAAATTAAGAAATAAAAAGGTGATCCATTGAATTTTTTTTAATTAAGTAGCTTTATAATACAAAAATTGTTAAAAATTATTAGTAGTAGACACAAAATAGAGTTAAAATTTGTATAAAAACATATCATAAATGCTTATTTTTTAACTACACGAAATTTAAATTTAAAAAAATTATAGTTGCTAGTTAACTCTTATTTAATTTTTAATTTACTACACATCAATTCTTATTTTTTATTTTTTTTAGATTTTAAAAAATTATTGGTTACATTTTACTCTTATCCAATTTTTAAACTACTACCCTCTATGTTCTTCTATTATTAGAGTTATATTGATTTTTTTTTTAAAGATTTATCTTATTTTGTTTTTGAATTTTTAAATTTCAACTTGATTTCTTTTTTCAATCTTCATTTGATGTTTATTGAATTTCTCTCTACCTTATTTTTCTAGAATTTATTTAATTTCTTTTTCTATATTTTTATAGTTCATCATCAAATTTAAACTTGATTTTTTTTATCATTATCTAATATTTACAGAACCCACTCTTGCTCTTGATTTTTAGTTGACTTTATTCTTTTTTAAAAATTTATCTAATTTTCTCTTTCTATATTTATCTTCAAATTTAAACTTATTTTTTAAAAATATTTATCTTCTATTTATAGAATTTCACTCATACTCTTCTTTCTCCAATTGGGTTCGTTTGGCAAGCAAGATTGGGCTAAAATAGCCACAAAAGACAAAATAGGCTATTTTAGCCACAACAAACAAAACATCACATCCACAGAACCCACTCTTGCTCTTGATTTTTAGTTGACTTTATTCTTTTTTAAAAATTTATCTAATTTTCTCTTTCTATATTTATCTTCAAATTTAAACTTATTTTTTAAAAATATTTATCTTCTATTTATAGAATTTCACTCATACTCTTCTTTCTCCAATTGAGTTTATTTAATTGAGTGTATTTCAAAAAAATTAATTAATCCTACATATTTATATAAATATAATAAAATCATTCAAATCTATTATTTAAATATTTATCTAAATTAATATCATAGTATTTAATTAATTTTTAATACATTTATTTATCACATTTTATTACTTATTTGTGCTTAGTACGAGTTTTACGCTAGTTCTTTTACGATGAAAAAGTATTTTGATATATTATTTATTTTAAATGGCTAAACACACACCTCGATCACATTTTTGTATAAAATTTTCACATATAATTTCAATTATCATATACCATCTCTAATTTATAAAATAAAAAAAATTAAATTAAATTAAACACATATATATTTTTAGAAAGGAAAATGAGTGAGAGCACTAATTAGTGCTATCACTAATGATGTGGCAGTGGGCCCCACCAGGAATGATTTGATGTTTTGACCTTGATATTGTATTTTTTTCTTTTTTTATTGAGTACCATGTCATTAATGATTTTTTTAGAGTTTCAAAATTAGTGGCCACTATCATTGTTGTTTTAGAAAAATAAAAATAAAAATAAAGAGCCAGCATCACAACTCCTTTCGGTACTTCCCCAGATAACTAAAACGAACACGTCACTACCCACGAATCACAATGCTCCGCCTCCTGCCAACCACCACCGCCGCCACCACCTCCTCTCTCCCTCTCCTCCTCATGTCCTCCTCCTCTTCCTCTCTCTCCTCATTTTCTCTCTCTAAAAAATTCCTCAGCAACCCCCTTTCCTTCCCTCGAACCACCAGACCCATCTCTCCCTACTCTCCCCCAAAAATGAACTTGTTGGGTAAGCTCGGATTCGGTACTCGCTCCCCCACCGAACCCTCCAGTGACCCGTCCTTGTCCTCCATCGCTCAGGGTCCCGACGACGACGTTCCGGCGCCAGGACAACAGTTCGCGCAGTTCGGAGCTGGGTGTTTCTGGGGAGTCGAATTGGCCTTCCAGAGAGTTACTGGAGTGACGAAGACAGAGGTTGGGTACAGTCAGGGCTGTCTTCACAACCCTAGCTACAATGATGTCTGTTCTGGGACGACGAACCACTCGGAGGTCGTTAGGGTTCAGTATGATCCCAAGGAGTGTAGTTACGAGTCCTTGCTTGATGTTTTTTGGGCCAAACACGACCCTACTGCGCTTAATCGTCAGGTGGTTATGTTTAATTTTTGGGTTTTAATCGATGGATTTGTGATTTTGATTGTTGAATTTTGATGGGTTTTGGTTGAATTGGTGTTTGCCTCTTTATCTTTCTCTGCTTATATGGTGATTGTTTTGTGCGTTGTGAACTGAAAACGAGCTCATATTGATGTCTTATCGGTTTCCCAATTTTGTGTTCTAATCGCTGAATTTGTGGTTTTTGTTGTTGAATTTTGATGGGTTTTGGTTGAATTGCTATGAAATTGAGTTGAATTGGTGTTTGATTCTTGTATATCTGCTTATATGGTGAATTGGCGATTGTTTTGTGGGTGAACACACAAGCTCAAATTGATGGCTTATTGGTTTCCCAATTGTTAGGATAAGGATTAGTCATTGTATTTTGTAGCTAGATGCTTGAATTTTGGGTGCTTTTGATGGACAATGACAGGGTTTGATTTTTTCCTGGCCTTTTGTTGATTTCATAGGGAGACAGAGTATTTTTTTTAAGGACTTGGTTGTACTCAGTGCGTGTGTTCACTATTGATATCATATGGAGTAAGAGTGAGTTTTTAACAACTTGGTTGTACTCGGTTCGTGAGTGTTCACTATTGGCTTCAGACATGAATGAAGACCTCCCGTTTGGCACTAATATTTGAACTTCCGAGTTGCTTTGGGAGGTCAAAATTCTCCCCTGAACTGTGGCTCCTACTTGGCTTGATATTTTCATTTGGCAAATATGATTGTGTTTTCATTCCCTAAGGTTGTGTTTTGTTCTTGGATTTGTGGGGAAAAAAAAAAAAAGGAACAAAAGAAAAGAAAAGGGATTTGTGAAAATAATTTAGCTTCTATTTTATTCACAACTCTTTTTGTCCCTATTAATCCGTACACTAAGTTCCAAACACAACCTTAATGGTTTGTGGCCTCTGCATATCACTTATTCCTTTCCTGAAGACAGGCTTGGAGTGTTTTGGAACTATGAAGGTGATGAATGTTTCATTCATTTTTCTTCAGGCAGAGAGGGGGGTGGGGGTTTGAGGTAGAGAAATTTTTAAAGACCATTTTTGGTGATGATTGTCACTAGTTCATCTATCATGTGGTTACCTTCACATGAATTATATGACTTTCAACTTATTTGGGGATTATCATGTACAGGGGAGACTATCCAGTGTCATCTTGGTAGAATTACTTTTCTCTTGCCGAGATAAGTAATTGGGGTAACTGTAGTATATTATGTCACAGAACAATTAGCTCAATTTTTTGAGTTTAAGGTTAACTGAATGAATACTCTTTGGTTTCTTTCTCCACAAAGATAGCCTTCTTATAACAGATGCCAAACTATTCTTTTGGCAGAGATGCGTTGTCCAATTTAGTTGAACTCCACGGTCCACTCTTAAGAATCTTTCCTAATGGCATTCTTGTTAAGAATGTCTTTCCAAACTTCTGCAGAATGGTTACAGGCCATTTAGGTTCTACATTCATACCTCATTTAGCCAATCTGCCATAGCAGAGCTGTCAGGGTCTAAAGGCATGTTTGGGGGTGTTTTGAGGAAACCAAACTGTTCTGTAACACTAAATCTTTGGTTTATGATTTCTTATTGCTTCCCAAGCTTCTTGAACATAGTGTTCCCCATATTTGGATGAAGTCCAGAATTCTATTTACTTTATCTTGATGTGTTAACTGTGGCTGTAATGGGTTAATGAGTTAAGACTATTGTTCAAAATGCCCTGAATCTCCCCTGATCTTTGCCTTGGCCATCCCCATGAGCCATTGACACCTTTAGCCTGCAAATATTTCCCCAAGTTACATATATTAGTAAGTAATATTTCCCCAAGTTATAGTAGTTAGTATTCTGACACCATATTTTTTGATTAATTGCCAACTGAGATGCCAATTACCAATCCATAAAGAAGTAGATTTCCAATCACTATCATATATTTTATCCATATTTGAGCCATTATTTCTCAAGTTATACATTTGTTGTCCGAGTCTCTGGGTATTTTTATTTAAGCTTTGTCCTTCTATTATGTAACTGTGAACTGTGAACTGTGAATCCACTTTACACACATGGATGGTTCCGTTTGATTAGTGAGATAGGTTTTTTTTTTTTTTTTTTTTTGTCTCCCGTGAAAGTGGGAAAAAATTATCACTTATTCTTGCAATCACTTTTCTCCTGTAAAATATAAGAATTTTCTTGCAACTTCCATTCTTTTCAAACTACAAAACTAAAATTTCCAATCACTTTTGTTTCTTTCACTTCACTTCTCATAATATCATTTTCTTTCTAATCAAACAGACCTATTAGGAATCACTTTCTTACTTAATACCCTAAGTGCTTTATCATAAAACCATTTTTTACTCCATATCCTAACAGCATTTATTATCCTTCGGTCAGGGAAATGATGTTGGAACACAATACAGATCTGGAATTTACTTCTACACACCTGAGCAGGAGAAGGCGGCATTGGAATCGAAGGAGCGTCATCAGAACGTTTTGAACCGGAAAATTGTTTCTGAGATTCTGCCTGCGAAGAAGTTCTACCGAGCTGAGGAGTACCACCAGCAGTACCTTGCAAAGGGTGGTCGGTTTGGTTTAAAGCAATCTACTGACAAAGGCTGCAATGATCCAATTCGATGCTACGGCTAAATAATTATGTGTTATTTCGAGGGTTGATCTCTATTTGGCTTCCTAGTCCTTGTTTTCGGATATGGTTGTTAATAATAGGTCTCTGTTTGGAAACCACTTATGTATCTTATGCTCTTAATTTATAGGCTTTGCTTTCTAGATATACAGCTGAAGTGTGCAATGCAACTTCTCTAATATAGACTTGTTATTGATTGCAATAGGGGATCTGCTTCAATTTTGTGCTTGCAGTTTCAGTTCAGTTATATCGTTGTCACTTATCTGTATGAATAATGTTGTATATAGAAACTTATATGCAAAATTTATATAGAATGATATGACATATTTGCGTCTATTATTATTTCAATTTCAATCACATCATTCCGATAGGATTTTCTGCATAAAATTTCTTGGGGAAATAACAATTCAATGTAAAATTAAAAAAAAAAAAAATTATACATCAATATAAATAATATTAATCATTAAAATTTTAAATTATTTCATATATTTGTAAATATTTTTTGAAAAGCCTACAGAATTGTAATTTTCTCAAATTTCTTTCTCATGTATATTGCAGAATTCGCTTTGCGGCAGTTCTGTTTGTGGTCAGTTATTGATTGACATTCTAATTCTGAAAATTTTGCTCAACCTAGACTGAGCTGCATCTTGTTTCTGTTCTACCCTGGATACTGCAACGGTTCAGTCCATGTATGTAGTGCCATGTCATTTTTTGTCAAAATATTTTCCTATTTTTGTAACCCCAAAAGACTATTTTCACAAAGAATAACTCTGTTTGGTTTTGGAATTTTTAAAAATAATTTTTGAATTTTTAATTCATATATATATTTTTTTATTGAATTTTTTTTAATTTTAATTTTAAAAAAAATATTTTTAGCTTAGTTTACATTCACTTAAAAAGTAACAAATTTGTGGGAAGAAAAATTAAAAATTTACTAAATACAAAAAGAGAGATGCTGGAGACCCCAGTACGGAAGGATCCCCAGGACCCCCACCTCCACGTGGGGGGCTGCCAATGAAAAAAAAAAAAAAAAAAAAAATTAAATATATCTACTACTATTTTAAAGAATAATGCTTGGGACCCCCTTTTGGGGGTCACCTCCCCTTTGCCACGTGGCAGGGGGTGATTGGTGGAGCAGGAAAAAAAAGAAAAAAAAAAAGAAAAGATAACCAATGAGAGAGAGAGGGGGTCAAAGGGGGTGGAGGGAAAAGGGGGATGAATCATTACTCTATTTTAAAAGTGTAAGTATCCTCATTTGTCTTCTACTTTTTCATAGTTTCAAAATATCTTTCTTAACACATTGCCTCTAAAAAAGAATTAGGATCCTCTCCTTGCACTCCCTCCTTGCAGGGATTTCAGGTCCACTTTTAGACCCAATTTTGATAATCCGAACCGTTCATATTTTAAGATTTATTCAGTATATCATACCTGTAAAAAATCAAATTGATCGGATATCAGAAAGCATGTGTTCAGAAAATTGTTTATTAAATTCTTTAAAAAAAATAGTTTTTAGTTCAATTTTTTCGAACACATATTTTCTGATATCCGATCAATTGATTTTTTACAGGTATGATATATTGAATAAATCTTAAAATATGAACGGTTCAGATTATCAAAATTAGACCTAAAAATAGGCTTGAAGGCCCTGCAAGGAAGGAGTGCAAGGGGAGAATCTGAACTCCTAAAAAGGCACCTAGCAACAATCAAAGGCACCATATACCAACCGGTACTAAAACTTTTAAATTTTTGTGAATACCGCTATGCGGTTTTCATCCGTTAGAGAACTTTATTATATAATAATAATAATAATAATAATAATAATATTTGAAACTCTTAAAAAAAAAAAAATTAATTTAATCCACAATGATGTGGCATAATTGATGCTAATATATGTTAATTTTTAATTTATCACACTTTAATTATGGCAATAGATATAGTGTCTAATTGTCTTGCCACATTATTGTAATTGAATTTGTAGATATAAAATTGTTGATTTTCAGTATTTTTCATATAATAATACATAATTTTATGGTTAGGTTTTTCAAAAATTCAAATATAACTTTGATAGAATTTGATGAGCTCATGAAACTCTTCACAAGTTCTGTTTTAATTAGGACTGAGTAAGAAATCCGTGAAATCTATAATCTGATCCAGTCCAGTCCAATCCGATAGGTTTATATTGATTTTTTGAATCCGTGGTTCGGTTCTGGATTGAAGAATTAAAAATCCGTAATCCACGGATTGGTTCCGGATTGAATCCCACGGTTCCGGATTTGAACCGATCTTGACCATATACAAATAGTCTATATTTTTATTATACATCATTCCCCATAGCATCTTCTCTTATTCTATATAAAACCTAAACTCAAACCTAAATCCGTATAATAACTTCTTTTATTACTTTTATTTGTTAGTTTTTAGTTTTAATTTGTAATGGTCTAAATACTTATGGTGAAACCAGTTTTCTTATGGTTGTTTAAATTCTAGAACAATATGTCGCTATTATAAGAAAACATGTTACTATTGTGGAACTAATATAGCGTTATGTTTATATTTTTATGAAATTGAAGTGTTATATATATATATATATTTTTTTGTTATTTAATTATGTGAATACGTGGTCCTAAACCGATCTAATCCGTGTTTAAATGGATTGGTTCGGATTGGTTCCATGATTTAAACAGATTGGATTGGTTCCAATTTTTTAGGAACTGTAGATAATGGATTGGTTTTGGTTTTATCCCAATCCAGTCCAATCCGGACCATGCTCGCCCCTAGTTTTAATGATCCAAATTGTTCATTTTATACGACGCTCCGTGTAAATTTTATCGTGATTGTCTAAAAAAAATAATTTATTCTTAAAAATATGTTTTCCGTCTTTTTTTTTTTTTTTTTTAGAGACATGTGATAAAATAAAAATGTTATGTTTATCAGATTAATCTAATTTTTTCTATGAATGGTATATACTGAGGGTTCTACAGAATGAATGGTTCGAATAATTGAAATAGAACTTTTGGTAAGCCTCACAAGACCGTCAAGTTCTCTCAAATTTAAACTCAACATTAATTTTAAAAGTTAAAAATTAGTATTTTTTTATATAGACTGAATAGTCATGCACCTACAAATCATTACAAAATTAAATTGAATAGGAATATTTATTCATTGAGAGACACTACATCTTGTAAATAAGTGTAAGTTTTTCATTGTTTTTCACATATACAACTTTTACCTATGTTTACTTTACAAAGGAGAATTCAACCACTTTTTGATAACACACATTTGTCATTGTTTCAAGAACTTCTACATATTCAAAATTGTTACTAGAAATTTTTCTAAAAAATACATGTGTGGTTGAGCTTTATTTTAGAAGTAGAACTCATCATTTAAAAATTGAATCTAGATCATTCATTAGGATTCTCGATAAAAATTTCTTCTTTCTTACAATTTGTGTTCAGTTATTCATCGGCCAAATCACATTTGTACATTATCAGTTTACTTTATATCAATTGTTCTACAGTTTTCTAATACTGGAACCTCTCACTTTTCTCATCCACTATGAAATACTGTTTTTGTGTTTGGTTAATAAATACAAATAGGTTATAAATTCACTATAAAATACTATATTTCCTTTATAACATAAAGGGTAAACTACATTGACACCCTTGAGGTTTGCTTTTAGTACAGATTTTTTCCTTACGTTTTGAAAATTACATTCCCCTCTCTGAAGTTTATATTAACATTATAAATTGGCCCTTCCGTTTAGTTAACAGTTTTGCTGATGTCATCTATTGATTTTTTTAGAATACCAATTTTACCCTCAAATGTAATAGAAGTGTATATTCTCCCTTAATATATATTTTTTTTCTTTATCATGATTTCTACCAGGAACTTACCCAGCAAATAAGAACAATGACTCAATAATGTCTAGCAAAAAAAAATAATAATAAAAAAGGCAGAAGAAGGCACTTTTTCATCAAACATTTTGTGGATACCCATTGCCTCATCACCCAGAGAAGCTATTACACAATTTTGGAACCAACACATTTCATCAAACATCTGGTAGGCAACCCCACCTCCCCACCCTGTATTGCCAATACCCATTCAGTCAAAGGAAAAAGAGAGAGATGCAACTATTCAATGCCCTCACTTCACTCTTCCTAATCAGCCCTCTTCCACCGTCACCTTCACCATCACCTACACCCCCAACTCTTCCTAATCTTTCATCTTAACTCTACAGCTCACCACCGCCAAACCCAACATGACCACCACCTGTGGTCGCCAAAACTTTTCCCTTTTTCCTGCGCAGAAATTTAGTGTCACGCCAAATCCAACTGCGACCAACCGTGTTAACTAGTTGCCAATAGTTTAGTTTTTGAAGACCAAAAAATATATGATCGCCGATTATGTATATTTGTCGACCAATTTATATTATGTTGTCAAAAATAGTTGCCAAAAATATTTTTTGTTGTAGTGATCACAACAATCATATGGCCATTGACAGTGTCAAACAACCCTCTCCATCACCCTACCATTTACCTCAACTTTCTCCCTCTCACATTCTTTGTTTTTTGCAAATACATTTGACCCAACCCCCACAATCACAAGAAGTCACCCTTTACAAAAAAATAAAGGGTAAATTACAAATACACCTCCAAAATTTATTTAAAATATAAATTCGCTCATGTGATTTGAAAAATTACAAATACCCTCTTATTAAAAAAATTTATTTAACAAAATTAACTGAAAAAATAAAATTCATAATTGTTTTCCTATGCAATAATAAAATTACTTAAAATATTAATTGAAATATATTTTTAACATCATTAAAAACTATTAATTGACTTAATAATTTATTAATAGAATGGGCAATTTGTTATGAAATTAAAAACTTCAGGGGATGGAATGTAGTTTTCAAAATCACAAGAGTCGATTCGTATTTTGATAAAACCTCAGGGGGTGTATTTGTAATTTATCCAAAAATAAATCCACAGTGGACTCCCAAAAATTCGAACCTTGTATATTTGGTTCAAGATTCTCTCTCTCTCTCTCTCTCTCTCTCTCTCTTAAAAAAAAATTATTCAATATTTGATCTAAATTATTGAACTCTGTTTCTTTTCCCAAAAAAAAAAAAATCATAGTGAATTTAAAAAAATTAAACCTTTTATGTTGGATTCAGAGTTTGTTTTTTTACTTCTTAAGATCAAAATTATTGAACTCTGTTTTGGCCCAAAAAATTGTGGTGGTAATTGGTCTGCAACAGTAGCTTTGCTTTTTTGATTGGGGCTACGATCATGCATTATGTTGCTGTAGCGGTTGTGGAGAGAGAAAGAGAGGGATCGCGATGGGTTGCGAGCTCTAATAGTGTTAGCACTACAAGAAATGACACTTTTGGCGATCAAAATATTGGTCGCCAAAAGCCCCATTTTTGGTCACCGAAACAAATTAGCGACTAATTTTTTTTTGTCGCCAAAGTTGTCGCCTATACTCTGTCGGCGATAGAATTGGCGACTAAACTATTTTTGGTCGTTGAAAGTGAACGTTTTGGCTACTAAACTCTGGTTAGTCGGCAAAGGTTATTTTTTGGCGACTAAAATATTAGTCGCCAAAAGTGAACATTTGGCTACGAAACTTTGAGTAGTTGGGAAAGGGGATATTTTGGCGACTAAATATTTAGTCGCCAAAAGCGTTCAAACAAAATTAATTTAATTTTCAGCGACTAAAAATTTTAGTCGTAGATAAGTTTTAGTCACAACATTACTACATTGAGTTGTGACTAAAGAATTTAGTAGCCAAAAAATTATTTTTCATTTTATTTTATTTTTTGCTACTAACCATGGGTTGCCGAAAGTCTTCATTTATTTTTGACTACTAAACTATTTAGTCGCCTAAAGTCTTATATAGTTTTGGCTACTAAATTTTTAGTCACCAAAAATCTTTGGATTCTTTCTGGCTACCAAATATTTAGTCGCTAAAAATATTGATTTCCTTTTTGGCTACCAATTGGTTAGTCACTAACAAATTCACTTTTTTTTTTCTTTCGCTACTAAACATTTAGTTGCCAAAAACTTTATTTAGTGTTTTTTTCATTATAATTAATTTCTCCACAACTTGTATTTATTTCGTGCAACCTGCACCCTGTATATAAACAAAATAATACATATATCTATTTCTATTTCGTTTCAACAATACAAAAATTTGATCTTTTAACATCAAATTCTATGCAAATCAAATACAATCCAACCCAAAATAATAATTCCATACAAACACAAAATCATACAAAAAAGATGTCCTCTGTACAAAAAATTCTACATCAAATGTCATTTACAGAATATTTTGAAGGTGTAAACATGATGGGAAAATTAAATTTATTTACTAAAACACTTGCTTAATTTAACAATGAAGCCATTGATCTAAACGCTTCTCATCCTTCAAGCTTGCTTCATATAGTTTGGTACCTTTCTTTCTGAAGACACCAACTGCAAAATAATAATCAACCTCCCAATCAGCGGAAGCATTTAGCAAATAAGTATAGATAATTAAACAATGTGTAATAGAGAGATAAGTAATTTTGAATTTTTTTTGAAAAAATTTGTAACCAAACATGTTTTTGGAAATTTTCTTCCGAAAACATGTTTTAAAACACAAACCAAACATGGCCATTATGTTCTTGAAAAAATATTTTTAAATATTATATGAAAAAGTGGATAGTTTAAATTTAAATATTTAAAACTAATATGATTCACATATTTAAAATCACTGCTGGAAAATCGACTTTTAGCGGCGTTTTAAAAACGCCGCTATAGGTACTGAAAACGTCGCTAATTATTTTTGTGACGTTTTGTACCAAACGCCGAAGACGCGGCCGTCGCTATAGTTTTATGGCGTTTGGAAAACGTCGGTATATTAGTATAGGCGGCGTTTTTAAAACGCCGCTAAAAGTCGCTTTTCCAGCAGTGTTAGAAGAGGTTGTCCCACGCTTACTTACCTCTTTTTTGCGGATGATGCTCTACTTTTTGCCAAAGCTAATAGAGGAGACTACCAACCCCTTAAATCTATTTTGGAGGTTTACAGCTTTGCATCAGGACAACTCATTAATGTTGAAAAATCAGGGATAATTTTTTAGGCTAATACGTCAGAAGTGGTGAAGAGCGAATACTGTGCTTACCTGGGAATCCCTTCAATGAACGGTGGCTCGAAGTACTTGGGTCTACCTTCTTTTTGAGGAAGATCAAGTCCGAAGCATTTGGGTTTTTAATTGAAAAAGCTGTGAATAAAAATGCAAAGATGGAAACAGAGTTTGTTGTCTCAAGCAGAGAAGGAGGTACTTGTCAAATCTGTTGTGCAGGCAATTCCTGCTTATGCTATGGCATGTTTTGCCTTTCCAAAGAAGTTTAATGATCGTTTAAATTCATATACGAGTAATTTTTGGTGGGGTAGAGATCCTTTAGACCGTGGCCCTCACTGGGCAAGCTGGGACAGCTTGGGTTTGGCTAAATCAAAGGGAGGGATGGGCTTTAGAGATTTCAAAGCTTTCAATCTAGCCCTTCTTGCAAAGTAGATGTGGAGACTTATCACTCGTCCTCACTCATTTTGTGCTCAGATTTTAAGAGGGGTTTATCATCCACATTTAGATTTCCTAGCTACTTCTAGGGGTAGAAGTCCATCTTAGGCCTGGGCAAGTTATCTCAAATACTTATGAGATCAGGAGTTCCATAACCATACAATCTCTAGTAAGTTCCATAATTTTCCACATTATTGGCAATCATCTTGCCCTTTTATTATTACTGAAATAAGTTAAAAAAATTATGTTACCTCGTCTATGTTCTCAAACTTCCTTTCTGGCTCTAGAGGTTGACCACCATAGCTTTGAGTTGGACGTGGGGTCACATAGATTACCCTTTTAGAACTCATGCAACCCATGGCCTATATAATTCTTGGTGCTCTGGGAAAGTGAACATTTGGGTCCACTGGCCCTCTTCTTGGTGCTCTGATACACCAACCTCCCTCCTAAATTCACACAAATTTAGCTCAAATCAAAAAATTTAACTATCATTTCCACAATTCCCATAGCAAACTCGTAACTTATTTTATACATTGTAGCTAAATCTTGTATCGAATTTGGCACAAAACTTAGTAATTCTAAAATACAACACAATGTTTATCTAGTCTTTCGAGAGTTCCAATTTGGCCTTGATCTTAATTTTTGACAATAACATTCATTGGAGAAGCAATAATTTTTCCAATGGACATGGACTCAAGACTATTTAACTCTATCAAACAACTTTTAAAATAACAATAATAAAAAATAAATAAATAAGCACTAACAGAGACATTGAAATAGAAACTAAAAAAAATCAATTGGAAGTTTGGAACTCCTTTTAGAAAATAGAATCTTTGGTCGTTCCAAGAAAATTTTTACGATTCGAAGGAACTCATAAAAGTAAAATCACTACGAACTTCATTAAGGCCCATTTGGGTGTCTCAAAAAAATGAATTGGGCCATTTTACTTTTAGCTCATTTACAAATTAGACAATTTAATTTATTTAATTCTCTTTAATGTGTGAAATGTGAAAGGCTGAGTATATTTTTGCGTGGGCAAAAATTCATCATGATGATGGATTGATGATGATAGCAAGCAAAGTCAATAGAACACTTTCGTCGTGGTTAATGTATTACTTGATTGGAAGCATTCCAATGTCCAAGTTAGAAAAACTTAGAGAGAATAAAAATAAAATAAACAAGAGTTTACAGAAATAATATAATTTTTATTCACTGAATGTCCTCCAAACATTTCTCTTATTATTAGGATTTGACTATTTTTAATAACTCTTTTCTTTCTAACTCTACTCTTTAATTTGCTTAGATTATTTCTAACATATATTCCTACAACCTTAAACTAACTAAGATCACTATTATCCTAACTAAATTGGCATTAAGCGTGACTATTTTCTTCAATTTCACACTTGATATATGAGAATTGTCTAATAGTGACGTTTCACCTCAATTGACATTTATAATTATCTATAAAGGAACATGATGATTTAACATTTATTTTGATTTTCAAAACTTTAAAATATCAACTTTTAAATTGAATTATTTTTTGTACAAAACTAAAAAAAAAATTTGGGGGTTTTTGGTTTGGGGGTATTTGCAGGGGAGAGCAGGGGGTCCCTCCCTATACTAAGAATGATTTAACAACTTAGGCCTCATTAAGTATGTTGAGGAGGGCCATTATGAAAGTCACATGCATTTGCTAACATCAAATAACATTAATAAGCGGTTTCATTAAGAAGGAAGACTGATTAGACGCACCACTTTCTTGAACAAACTGTTGAAGTAATCGGCATGTCTCTACAAGAGCAGAGAAATCAGCAACATGTTGTGGATTAAAGAAGAAAAGCAACTGGTGGAGAAAAATCGAATTAGGCCCAAAGCAGTGCTTGGATGTACAGAGCTCATAAATGAAAATGAAAAAAATGAATTAGGCCCAACATTCAAAAAAAATGAAATTCAATCTCAAACTAAAATTGCACCTAATAAGAGCTCATGAACAGGTAATTGAAAAAAGCAATTAAATTCAATCTGGGCACTACCAAACCTCATAAACAGATGTCAAACACATGAGCATTGTCTGGTTTCATTTGAACATTTTGTCAAACACATGGTGAGTAAAAGGGTCAGAAGACAGCAACAAATACAAGCATGGACGAAACAGTCCAAGTAAGAGCAGTAGGTAGAGAAAAACAAACAAGCAAGAGCAGTAGTTAGAAAAAAAACAAACATACTTAATGAGCCTTCCAAATTGACCAAACCATGGCCTCCACATCTTCTTTTCCAGCTTTCCAAATTTAAACCCAAACTCCCAGTGTGACAAATTTGAAAAAGATTATGGTGTAACCCAGTGAACATTCCACCATTCTAGTAATTCAACCCATATCCTCCATATCCAAGGACAATGAATGAATAGATGCCTCAACCTTAACATGGGTCGATTTGGGGTTGGGTTTGCGTAAAGGTATGCAAACGGAAGAAGAAAACCCTAGAGGCTGAAATTAGGGGAATAGAGACTATAGAGAGGACATACCTGGGGTACTGCTCCAATGGTGGATTGAAGGTGGTGCTCGTGTGCGATGGCGGTGATGCTCCGTTAACGATGGAGACAAAAGCGAGAGAGAGAGAGAGAAGGACAGAGAGAGCGGGAGGAGAGCAGAGGCAGACAGAGATGCATGAGAGAGTTCGAGCGTGTGGGAGTGTATTTCTTAAACCTAGTTTATTTTATTTCTCGACTAACTCTTTTAGTCGCCCATAATAAATAAAGGCTTTTCTCCGATGAAATATTTAGTAGCTAATTAATTTTGCCCCCCAAAATCTGAAGTCCAATTTTAAAATTTTTTAATTATAATTGCCGACTAAAATTTAGTCATTAAAAGTAAATTAAATACCGACTAAATAATTTCCGTAGCCAAAACTAACTATACAGCGACTAAACTATTTTTTAGTCGCCAATTGTGACATTTTTAGCTACTAAAATATTTTTTAGTAGCCAATTGTTGCATTTTTACCGACTAAATTGTGATTAGTAGCCAATTGTTGCATCTTTGGCGACTAAAATATTTTTTAGTAGCCAATTGTTACATTGTTGCCAACCAAATTGTGATTAGTAGCCAATTGTTGCATCTTTGGCGACTAAAATATTTTTTAGTAGCCAATTGTTGCACTTTTACTGACTAAATTTTTTTTAGTTGCCAATAATCGACATTCCCCAACTAAAAAAAAATTAGTAGCTAAAAATGATGACTTTTGCCGACTAATATTATTTTTGGTAGCCAATTCCGTAACTTTTGGCGACAAAAAGCCATTTGGTAGCCAAAAGTGGTCGCCAAAAATGTATTTTCTTGTAGTGTAGTATGTTGTGATGTGGGTTGTAGTGGTGAGTTGGAATTGAGGATTGGTGAGGGTCGGTGGCTGTAATAGTGTTATGGTAGTTGTAATGGTGTTGTTATTAGTGTATGTTGATAGTAGCTTACAGAGTTGATGAGGGCAAACCAATGAGAGTTGAGAAGAAGAAGATTGAAGAGTGTTATGTGTCATTTAGTAATTTCACTCTATCAGTGGAGGGCATTATGGTCATTGTACAATTTTCCATCACAACAACAAACACTTACCGGGGGTGTAGTGTAATTTCTCAAATGTAGAAGGGATATCTGTATAAAGCCAAAATCTCATGAGGTATTAGTATAATTTACCTTTTTATAAAATATAATTACAAATACCACGTGCAACACACATATATACCACCACTAATATATATATATATATATATCCAATATATTCTTTGTTTTTTTTTTATTGAATTTTTTAGATTTTGTTTTTACAAATATTTTACAGTGTTTTTTATTAGAAAAAGGCTTAATACATGAAAAGTTACCAAATAAAATATATTGGAATATAAAATAGATCCAAAAATGGAAAAAATGAACCTCCACATAGGGAGGATGAGTAGAATGTTTTTCTTCTCCCTTTTTTTAAAAATATGAAAACACAACAAAACAAAAATACATGTAAACAACAAACCAAACCAACTTGTTCCAAAAACATATGGGGCTTTGTCCTAATTTTAATTGGACCTCACTAGTAGATAGTAGAATTGGTCTTGTTAGTCCCAAGGTTATTCAACTTTACTTTCTATTGATTTTGATTATTAACAAATATTTTGAATTTATTTAGTCATTCAAAGTTTTCAAAATAATAAAATAAAATTGTGCTAGAAATTATATGACTCTAGAGTATTATTTTTTCAATGATTTTTGGGTCTTCAAAACATAAGCATTAGCACTTGGTTGCAAAACTCTATCCTTGCTTAAAACATATCTAAGGGTCGACACTAGAATAAACCTCAAAGTCTTAAGTGTTCCAGAACCAAGGGTCGACACCAAGAACGGCAAGGGTCGGCACCAAATTTCAGAATGCAATCCAGCAGCAAGAGTCGACATCAAATTTCAGAATGCAATCTAGTAGCAAGGGTCGACACCAAATTTTAGAATGCAATCCAGAAGCAAGAGTCGATACCAAGATCAGTAAGGGTCGACACTAGAGTCACTTGAAACTTAACTCAGAAAAGAGAAAAAGAGCTAAGGGTCGACACCCAAGTTGCAGGAGTCAACACCCATAATATTTGGGTTTAAAAATCCCACCAGCCAAATCAGATCCAGATTGCTGCAGATCATTTCTCAGTCACTTTTCAGAGTTCTGTGCATAATATGTCATCTTTTCTGACCTCTGAACAGATCTTCTGGAACCATGTCCTCTCCAAGAAGTTGACCTATGAAGAAGAGCATTAAATAAAAAGCATGTGCATTTAATGATCCTTCTCTTCCCAAGACCTGTCCACAGTCTGCAACTCACCATACTCTGATCAAACAACAGCTGGAAGATATCATGCTTGATCTGCTCCAACGGCTAGGAATTTCAAAACCTCTCTCTCTTTCCAACAGTGAAGGCATTAATGCTATAAATGTGAAGCTCTTCTTGTTCATTCAACACGCTTCTTCAATATAACAAGCCTAGAGCATTCAAGAACAATCAAGAGTTTTTATTATACTTCATTTTGTACTTTCATTTTCATATCTGAGTGAGCATTCAATTACTTGAGAGCTTACACTTTCATATCAATCTTTTGTGAGAGAACATTTGTAAAAGAGGAAAGTTATACCTCTTATTCTTATTCCTTATTTTTTGAGTGACACTTGTAAAGTGAGACATTTAGTTGAGAGGATTTCAACAGATTGAAATAAGTCCTTGTAAAAATCCGCAAGTTAGGTGGCGCTTGGTGGTGCATCTATTCATAGTTAATAAATTCTCAAGAAGGTGTCTTGAGGAGTGGACGTAGGCTTGTGAGCCGAATCACTATAAATCTATGTGTCAAGTTCTTCCTTCCTTTCCTTTTATTTTTTGTCCATTCATTTATTGTCATCTGCCATTAAATACTTAGTCTTTGCAATTTTATTTTTCAGACCAAATTTTTAATTACCCAATTTACCCCTCCTCTTGGGTTGCTTTCCTAAATAACAGGTCTCTTGAAGTAATCAGTCTAATAGGTTGGATATTGAGTTATCAAAAAATAAATAAAAAACTGGTAACGAGCAGAGACAAGCCCAGGAATCTAACATAAAGGGCGAATATATATACTAACAAAATTAACAAAATATATATATATATATATACATATATATAAATTACAATATCAATTTTTACTCACAAAAAAAATAAAAAATAATATAAAAAACATACATAAATAAACATGTTTTCCTACTTATCTTCATGTTGAGCTATAAATGATAGCAATTGACAGGTAATCACAACATTATTATTATTATTATTATTATTATTATTATGATTTATTTTATAACCTAGAGAGGGCGAATTTGTAACGCTAGTATGTAAAGGAGTGGTTTGAAATCATTAGGGGGACGCTTGCCCCCTAGGTTTATAGTTGGTAATGTGCTTTATTGGGAAAATTTTATTTTTACGTTCTTAATTAATTTAAGGCATATTTTTTTAGCACATATATTTATTAATTTGATTATTAATTAATTTACTCAATTTACATACTAAAAGTTACAATTATACTATTTATTTATAATCATTGTACACACACCACTCAAGTCTCTTTTTTACATATTTGTTGAGCGACTCTGTTTCCAGATTTGTAGACTTATGTGAAAACTATTCAAGATCATAGTGTGAAGTGAAAACAAAATCCTCCATTGAAGGCTTTCATTGAAAACCCTCCAAAATATTGTTGAAGATGAAACATCTTTTCATTTTGTTATTGCATTTATCATTTTTAGATCTCTGTGCATTCCATTGCCATAAAACTCTCATTTTAAATTTTTTTTTTATGTTTTTCAATTTGAGAATTTCGACTTTGGTTTTTTGAAATTATACATTTAATTCGAAACTTAACTTCTGAAGAGAAGTGATTAATTCGACAAATTTGTTCTAAAAATAAATTAAAAAAAAATTTAGCAGTTGATATCCGAATATAATGAAATAATTCGGTATATGTTATCCAACTGAAAATTGCAAAAGGGAAAAAAAAGAAAAAAGAAGAAGAAGAGATTTTGCACAAAAAAAATTAATCTTTTCATCACTAATAGAGTATAAATCTAGATATTAAAGCAAAATATGAGAGTATTGCTTTGCAAGCAATAGAGGAGTATAGAGTGTGTAGTAAGTAAAGTTACAACAATGAAAAAACTAAGATTTAGTTTTCTTTTTATTCAAAAGGTATACATTGAGATTTTTTTTTTTTCTTAAAAAAAGATGTGTACAAAGAATATTTTCATATAATATTATGGGTGCTAGTGAATATCTATTATGGTCATTTTAATTTAAGATATAATTATTATTAAAATAATATTTTATTAAATATGTGTACTAATTAGGTGTGTGAAGATAATTTCTCACTCTACTAAGCATCAAAACAGAAAAGTTTGTAAAATTATTAATAGAACTGCGCAAGTAGATCTAAACCTCAATAAAAACTTAATTAGTGTAAATGTTTTTCTAAATTTAATTTTAATAATTAGAAAACATAAATTAAAAATATTTCTCTCTTAATTTTTAAATAATTTTTTAAAATTTATTTAAGTCATTTTAGCTTAATACCTAGAATCTACATCAAACATTCTGACATAAATTTAAAAAACTCAAAAATAAAAATTATAAACAATACTCATAAATTACACCAAACAAGAGCAAAGTTTAATACAATAGTAGTTGCAGTTTACATAATAGAACCCTCTATGTATTATTGTCTATTATAGTAGTAGATGTACATAGTGTACATGAATGTATTTATAAGTTAACAAAGACATATATTGTCTTTTTTTTTTTTTTTATAATGAAGAAGACATATATTGTTGACACACCATATTTCTACTACATATGTATGGTTAGGGCATCATTTTCTCCCAAAAATACATGTCAAAAACACTAACACCAAAACTGGTTTTTTTACCCCTTTTTGTTCCCGTCCTTGGAGACTGATGGTGGTGATCGGTTTCCATATCCAGCTGGACCGCCACTTCCACCGCCACTACCACCTCCTTCACCACCTGAACCAGTCCCCGATCCATATCCGCCTCCATGAGCTCCACCACCTCCTGTCCCATACCCAAATCCAGAACCAGTCCCGGTCCCGGACCCGGACCCGGTACCAAACCCATATCCGAAACCCTTGCCAAACCCATTTGGAGACCGTCCTGAACCTGAACCATAACCCGATCCGAATCCCGGGCCTGAACTCCATCCCCAACTGTAGTCCCAGTTAGGACCATGACCAGACCCACTTCCCCCCTTTGGCCCCCCGGTGCCCCCACTTGGACCAGAAGGCACCTCTGGCGACTCCACCTTTCCTCCACCACCGTCACTGCCACCACCGCCGGCACCGGGGTTGTATGCCCATATAGGGCTGCTGGATAGCAAGAAGAAAAAGATGAGAGTAAAAGACAAGATGTTGAGCTGCATTTTTTTTCTTGTTATTTTTCTCTTTGGAATTGGTATTGAGAAAGCTAGCATGTGAGTTAGTTTCAGAAGTGAGGCTCTACATATAGATATAGTGCGTGGAATGGTTTGGAATGGTTATTGGTGTGATATTTATTGGGTAATGGTGGGTTCAAATTGTTGTCAACGTGGAGGAGGACGAGAGCACCCGTGACATAACTAACAGGTACATCCCCCAGTGGGCTCACCTGTCATGATGAGAGAGAATTGCTCTCACAAATATAATACAAAAAAATATTAATTCTGTGGTATTTTTAAAAAGGAGACAGTTCCTCTTCAGTGCATTGTGAACTGGACGGTGTTGCTTAAATCCGGGTCCATCCAGAAATGAAACCAGAATTCTGTCTTCAAAATATAATTATCGTGTCTATGGAATTGAAAAAGAGAATAAAACACAAGGGAAAAAAAACAAAAAAACAACAAAAAAATTAGAAACATAAAAGTGCAAAATTATTAGTAAAGAGTAAAATAAAAAATAGAGTGGTGATTAGTAGCTCTAAAAGTAGAGCTCTAAAAGAGCTCTACTGGCACCTTCACACACCCAGAAAAAAAAAAAAAAAAATTTAAACCAAAATATCACATTAATGTGACCCATACCATTACCACCTCATTAGATCAACTCTAGGGTTTTGAAACATTTTTCTAAAAAATAAGAGAGTGAGGGGTTGAAGATTAAAAAGGACATTTGTCAATTGGGGCCAACATACATACACACATGGAAATAGATATAAAGATGTAATAGCACGCACACAATTGGGTCTGTCTTGGCCCATCACAAATTCTATTTTGGTAATATAAATTATTTATTTTATTAGATATTTTGTATATTATATTCACATAAGAAAAATTAAATATTTGATAATTATAATTTATTCAATTTATTATATTTGTCTTAAAAAGTAGACGATTTATTTTTAAAAATATAATTGTCACTTATTTTTTTGGTGACAAACGCGATAAATTGAATAAGTTAAAATTATCAGATCGATTTAATTTTTTTTTTTGGATGAAATACACGAAATGCTTAACAAAATAAACAAATTAGATCGTTAAAACCAAATCCATGGTAGGCCCATGAGCCCAAACAACACCATCCGATCCACTAGCTAAAATTTTATTTCAGATTAAATTTTTAATCTATTTTTAAAAAGTTGGCGTCATTTCTTCTATTGAAAAACCTTTATGAAGGTAAGGATAATTATCTATACTATTGATCTAATATTATATGTCAAATTTCGTTTATAATTTTTTATTGATTGTCTTTAAATTTTAGTTAAGTTCGTTTAACAACTTAATTAATGTATTATTTTATTCTATTATTATTTGTAGTGAAGTGCTATTATTTAAATTATCTAATCATATTTCGTCAATATATCTAATATTTATATAATTTTATTGACAAAGTTGAGAAATCAGGTTCTTATACCAATTTAAATGCATAGTGAAACAAAACACTTTTTAAAGATCTAATAGAAATTTAAGATTTTCTGCACTAAAATCTCAGCTAAGTAGTGTCTTTTACTAATTTATAATACTTATTGCTTTATATTTTATTTTTGCAACCTTTTTAAAGACTAAATATGTTTAAATTAAATATTTTAGAAATTTAATAGATTCAATCAACCGTTTAGGGATTAAATAGACTTTGATTTATATATTTTGGGCATTCAATACACTTAATCGATAGTTTATGACTAAGTAGACAATTTAGAAATAGTACTAAATCCAAAAACACATTTTAGTGACACCATACTTGTGTCACTGAAAGGTTTTAGTCTTGATGGTGTAATGACACTTATAAGTGTCACTAACTCTTTTTTTAATGGCACTTGATAGTGGCACAAATAGTATCTATCATGACATCAAAATATCATTGAAAGTTTTTAGCCATGATGGTGTAGTGACACTTGTAAGTATCTACCGTGACACTAGTATCTACCGTGGTACCGATACAAATGACACTTGTTCAAAATGTCACAAGACTAAAAAATGTCATTAAACCAATAATTTTGTGACACTTTCAAATGCCACTAAACTAAGAAAATGTTGTAGTGAGTCTATAAATAAAAAGTAAAATTAACCTTTTAAAAAATAATTATAAATTTATTTAAAAAATAAAATTTTAATTATTAATATTTATGAAATTTAGACAATTAATCACTGTACTAGGTTCCTAGGTGTTGCCATCAGTTGAATTGAAACCAAAAGAAAAAAATACACAAACGAAAAAAAAATTTAGACAATATGTTTGTATATCATCTCACGTGTCAAAGTGTGAATTTCTTTATAAAAAAATAAATAAAAATTGAGGGGTTCTTAAGGTTCTATACGGATATCATTTTGATAATCTAAATTATTTATTTTGTAAGGGTTATAATGTATATTATTTATGAAAAAAATTAATTTGATCCAATAATTATAACTTTTTTATTTTATTACATTTGTTTTCAAAAAAATAGATGGGAAATGCATATTTGAAATAGACCATCTATTTTTTTTATAGACAAATGCGATAAAAAGAAAATGTTACAATTATCAGATCGTTCTAAATTTTTTCATGAATAATATACACTATAAGTCTTACAAAATGTACAATTCAGATCATTAAAAAGCGACATGTGTTTGATCCTATAAGCCCCTCAAATTCTATCATATTGAGATTTCAGTATAAAAAAAGTTCACCTCAATAAATAAACAAAATAAAGGCAAATGTAATAGGGGTTGCAAACCCAACTGTACTCAACTTGGTTGTGGAAGATATAACACTAAAAAATTGTAGAAATCTTTGTCTTTCATATTGAGCGATTTTTATTTTTATTTTTTTTATTAAACTTGGACTGAAATGTGATTTATTCAAGATAGATAACGCCACCCATGATAAGCACCACCACCACTACCGCCTCAGCCAAATATAGTTACATAAAATATATGATTGCATTTCATCACTACTTTGCTAGTGCTAGAAATTTCCAAGTATATCTTATTATGAAACTATTAAATTGTCCCCCACTCTTCTTTGACATCAAACTTAATGACATGTGGTGTATTTTGTGGAAAAATTATTCACATAGCACCACGCCGACGTCCACGTTGATAAATGATGTATTATTTATTGATGTATTACAAGATTGTTCTGTATATTGATATTTGTATCTGTATATTACAAGTCCTATATATAGAGAGGTTTTGGGAGTAGTAGGTGTAGAGTGGGTGGTGGTAGTAGGTAAAGTGGAGGTGGTAGGTGGAGTGGGTGAGGAGTAGTGGAGGTGTGTAGTGGTAGTGGTAGGTTTTAGTGGTGTAGGAGGTGTACATTAACAGCCCCCCTCAAACTCAAGGAGGATAGGAACTAACCAACTTGAGTTTGAAGAGAGTAACAAAACAGGAAAGTAAACTGATAAATAAAAACAGGATAAAAAATGGGATAGGAGACACTGTATGGTCGTGTCGGACCGTTGTAGCAGACAGTTTACGAGGTCATGTCGGACCGGTGTAGAAGACAGTTTACGGGGTCATGTCGGACCGTTGTAGCAGACACTGTGTGGTCGTGTCAAACCGATGTAAAAGACAGTTTATGAGGTCATGTCGGACCGTTGGAGCAGACAGTTTACGGGGTCATGTCGGACCGTTGTTGAAGACAGTTTACGGGGTCATGTCGGACCGATGTAGCAGACAGTTTACGGGGTCATGTCGGACCGTTGTAGAAGACAGTTTACGGGGTCATGTCGGACCGATGTAGAACATTGTGGTGGTGCACCAAGGGGGTGACTTAGGGAGTACGCCATGGGCGACTTATACATTATACTGGTATAACCCCCCTCAAACTCAAATAGGTGTGAAGATAGAAACCTATTTGAGGTTGAAACAAAGGGATTGATAAAGCTGACCGGTGTAAAAGACACTGTATGAGTGTGTATATAGGCTGCCCAAAAAAATATACATTGATGTAGATATCGAGCCCTCAAAAGTCGTGCCCTCAAAAGGTGTGCCCGCACCCTCAAAAGGCGTGCCATCAAAAGGCGTGCCCGAATGCATCAAAAGGCGTGCCATGAAAAGGCGTGCCAGTTTGTCGGCGAGAAGAGGCGCGCGATGCGCGTGGCTGCCTCGGCTATTTAACCAAGACAAAATTATTTAAATAAATTAAATAAATAAAAATTAAATAAAATTATTTTATTTTTAAATTGAGACATTTAAATTTTATTGAGTTTTACTAAATATAATACATAATTAAACACTAGAGGGTCAAAATGGTCATTTCGCCACCTCATCCCCATATCCCCCATTATCCCTCCATTTGTGTCCCTCCATGAGACACAATAGTCCAATGGATTTGGAACTAATAGTCCGGAGGGACTAATAGTCTGATACAAAAAATTTGAATCAAACAACAAATTATTAGTCCGGATGCACTAATAGTTCAATCTGACCCCTCAATCCCTCAAAACAAACACCACCTTAATGGACTCAGGAGACTCTCTACCTGTTATAATTTAATTTGCAAAATATAACAAGAATAACACATTAAACCATTCATATATATTTTATTTTTCATCTCCGGATCTTTTATTTTAAATTTTTTAAACTCTCATTATTATTATTATTAATAAGAAACATAAAATTTATATAATAAGAATCATTCACTTCGAAACAAAATACTCATAAAAATTATTTATATTTATAATAATGACACTATTACATTAGTCTTATCGTATTTCTTGAATGATTTTTACGTGTAAACAGAGTTTTCTTATTAATTAAAGTATCTTTATACCGCATAAATTATATCATCTTTCTCATCAGTAACAACCCTCTCCAAAAAATGACAAATTATCCCGACATTTTTCCACCTCTCTGATTTTCTGTCCCAACAAAAAAAACCTATCGAGAATGGAACATCACAAATCCGGCCCACCAAAACTTTGTGCACCACCTTTCCTTCAAATGTATTATCAAACATCATCATCCATGTCCATGCGAAGCTTGTCCTATACGTGTTGGATCTTCATATCTATTGTTAAAACACATGTATTATTGATTGATTTGTTGTTACAAGATTGATGTGTATATTGATGTTT